CTGGAACAAAATGTATGAGCAGCACATGCTCCTAAAGGTTCCTTTGGTGTGCTGTCCCATTCCTTCCTCTGGTGTAAATTATCCGTTTGATCACGGTGCTCCTTGGACACCATGAATTATACATGCACTCATAAACTGAGGCATGCTGTCCAATGTGTTTTCATTTGGTTTCCTTGTAGGTGTGTTGAAGCGATGGAGGAAATGTTCTACTGGGCAGAAGCATTTTTTTTGTTGCTTTGTTGTTTATTTGTTGCTTTACATCATCGACCTTACCAAGGAAATTTACTGCTAGTCTGTCCTTCCTTTACCCGGCACATTTTCCACCGCACTGAAACAAACATGGCTGAGCTCTCAATCAAGCTGATACTTTTATTGAGTGAAGGGCGGCTGCATGTCGTGAAGTATCGACTTGATGTTTTGGGCTGGTTTTTTTTTCACCACACGCACACTGTAGTTGAGCGCAGATGTTAATCCCTCTGTTGCGGTTTAAGGTGTGAAATCACTCCCTGTTATAAAATCTCACGGTCTCAAAGCGCTCCTCTGCTGCTGCATCCTGACATTTATGGTTCTAAAGACCTTTTTTTTTTCTTTTTTTCTTTTTTTTACAAAGTAGCTTCACTGTATTGGGGGAGATTTCCTCTAAAAGATCAACACAAAGTAGTTTATAGCTGTAAATTTTAAGTAAATTGATATCACCATTCTAAAAATGTCTGCATATGTATTTATTTTTCAGTTCTCGTTGCAGATTTTAAATTGGGTTTACGTTTGGAATTTTTCCACAATCTATTGACAGTGGTGATATTTATGGGCTAAATCATGGGAGGCCTATGTTTGCATTTTTTGAACCTGCGCCAATAGGAGCTGCTGCTTGCTCGCCATGTTTTCAGACACGGATCTGTCCGCGTAGTTATAAGTTCTCCTAGGTGCGCGGTGTGGAAATTCTGTCTGCACGGGTGTTTGGACGCAGAAAATTACGTAACTTCCCCTCGCAGACGAGCATAAACCATGCTTTTAGTCTTTTGCTGCCTTTTAACAGATTTTCTTTCAGGTTTGCCAACACTTTTACCTCTATACACCTGCCCTGAGAAATGCCCAGTTCCTTTTTGCAGAAACTCGTGCCATCAGAAATTTTAATAATACAAAAACTGAATTTGAATTGCCCATAGTGAATCTGTATATGCAAAATTTTAACCTAAATATATTGGTTTAAAAGTGGATTTTACCTAATTTAAACTGTATTTTAAAACTAAATGAAAATGTATTTCATCATGTGAAACTGAACTCAGCCTTGTAAACCAAACTAACAGGGAGATGAAATGTGCTATTTAGTCTGGCCCCGATGAATGAGACATCAGAAGATTGCTGATGAGAACAACCAGTTGTTTTTCAAGCCGCTCTCTGTGCCTATTGGCCAACGCTCTGACCAATGAGCGCAACTGACTGTGATGTAGTAAGCCCGACAGTCCACAGACGCATTGCTCAACACAAATGGGCTACGTTGTCTGGACAAGACTTTGCTGTCCACCTACACCTTAAAGGAATAGTACACCCAGAACATGATTAGCCTTCATTTTCTACTCACCCCCATGCTGAACAACACTCTGGAGTACTTTTTTGATATCTCAAATGCATCTGGAGATCTGGGAGGCTTCTTGCTGTCTGCTGACATTCAAAGGTCAGAGGTCTGTGGCGCCCGAGGCAGAAAGGTCCATAAAAGTCCACATAAAACGTGTCAATATTCCTCCATACTGCTCGTCCAATGTATTCCAAGTGTCCTGAGTGGGTAGCATCCAGAATTTACTCGAAACGAAGTCATTTAGAATGTTTTTAGAGCATAAACAGTAGTGTATAGGATTTCCTAAAAGCGCGTTCACGAGTCTACGGAAACCGCGGCAGACCAAACCAGACGAAAGTGCGCATTCAGCGTCTGCTCTGCAAGCGTAGAAGAAGAAATGTGCTGTTTACCTGTCCAAAGAAAGAAACAACGAAAGAAAAATGTCTGAGGACTTCAGTGTTGAGGAAGAGCATGAGTTCTTTGCCGAGCTGAATGCGCACTTTCGTCTGGTTTGGTCTGCCGCGGTTTCCGTAGACTCGTGAACGCGCTTTTTACTTTTAATTCTAAAATTAAACTTTTGAAATTCATTTTTTCTTTTTTTTTTTGCCAGACATTCAGGTCCTAAAAAAAGACCTGAGTAATTGAATACAGATTGCGGTAGTGCACATGGTTATATTATGCTGCTCTCGGGTTCGTATTAAATTAATTGCATGCATAACATGTGTCATGTAAATGAATGATTGGATAATTGCAATAGCTATGGTTGTTGCTGTTAGTTTCTAACCCTAATTGAAATGCATCTAAATCTTTGTTCCAGGTGTGTTTTCTTTTCTTTGTTTTTCAGGATGTTGTTTGTTGTTAACCTTGAACAAACCTCTATATTTGAATTCGTGCTAAGATATACAAAGTGTTTCCCTTTTTTTTCCATAAATGGTTTTCTCGAGGATGGAGAGAGACATACACTCTGTTGGTGTCCTGTAACCTGACTATCTTACATACTTAATATGATTTAATTTGAGCATGCCATTTTGGTAACCATGCTGTATTTTGTGAGGTTCTTTTTCTTACTTGTGCGGTTTCATTTTTATATCACGGTTTAGATTTAAACTTTAATTGTAAAATCCGAAATAAATGCATTAAAATTTGTGGTTGTAATGGGATAGAAATCTGAAACTGAAGTCTTCTCCTATTGATCTGATACAGAGGTGCAATACAGTAGGAGCTTATCATCCAGGCCTTGGGTCTAGCTTTTTTTTTTTTTTTTTGCATTAAACTCACTCAAGGTCATGCCCTGGCACAGGAACAAAGGCTTTTACTTCTATCAAAGCAGACTGCTGATGGGAATTTATGCTCTCCTGGAGAACTGGAGGGCTAATGCTCTCAGACAGTCCATGGTCGAATGGTATCAAGATTCAAAGGCCTGTTTATGGTTAAAAAACTTTGGAATGTAAGATTCACTGAGATCAATGGGCATCATGACTGTCTATCCAGCTCACAAAACCTGGAGGTCAGGTCAGTGTGGACCTAGTGGGGCCTACACTAATTTTCACCTAACCCTGCCCCTTGTTACCCTACAATATATAGCTGTGACCTCACAATAGAGGTTTTGTTAACGTGAGAAAGCCAACTCTTTCCTTTGTATGCCTCCACCGTCTCTGGTCCTCTTTTGTAACCAGAATGTGGTGAGTCAGGTAACAACCGTCCTAAATCCAAAAAATATATTGTATTGCTTGCAAAACAGGATTTTTCTACCTCGATAAATGTTGGTTCAAAAGATGTTTTTACCTTTTCTTTGTTGTTGTGTTGGACCACACAAACATTAAATTCATTAACTTTAAAGCAAAACTGCGCAAATTTTGATCCCAGTTTTGTAGATACATTTACAGCAATAGGTAGCTATCAGAGCCCTTCTTTAAAAGACTTCTCTATGAAACTTCAGATGGTTGGATTCGCCACTGAATGAGGAATTTGGCGCAGAGTGCCCCCTTATGTCAGTCTGACCTTCTACTAAGCATCAAAGCTAAAGTAAACGTTTTTTCTAGGCATAAAATGAGACATAACACTAATCTAATCCGACATATTTTTGGTTCTCTGATGCAGGAATTTAATCCAGAGGGGTAAATATATCCTTGTCTTTACAAGAAACTCTATGACTTGTCAGTCTGCTGGTCAAAAGTGGTCTGCTATTAGATTAAAAAACAGGATGGGAGACTGTTTAATTTTGCGACAGTGCAGTGTTACCGGTGTCTTTGAGGGAGTCTTAAACTAGAAGTTCCAGATCTAGTGCTGCTAGTGACTAAAAATTATTCAGTGTTGCTTTAAAACAAATGATAGTTGATCACTATGAATGCAGCCTGTCAATAATTACAAGGTATAGTACACATTAGTACCTAAAAGGGGAAGAATAAGGAGAAATGTAGGGACCCATGACTGATAGGGGCCCAGAGAGGCCCCTAATACAATTACTATAGTGTAAAAAACTTACAGCGACACATATAGCATTATTAGAGAATTATTAACACTTTATTTGCTTTGGAAACATTTCTAAATGAAAACATTGGAATAAAACAAAAAGAGGCCACATGAAGTATACTACTATAATTTCTCCTATATTGTATTACCAGTAAAAAATGGTATTACAATTTAGGAAATAGTATAAAAAAAATTTATGTGACTGCAGAACCGGTTCCAGATTCCGCTTAAAATTCTCTGCATCTTGTTTAGTAAACAATGTTCAAATTACAATGTACCATGGTTGTGCTTTCTTGGCCAAAAAAGGAGCTTTGGGGGTTGGCTCTTTTTTAAAGTGAGATTTTTGAAAATAGCTTTTTTGGTATAGCTGTGTGTAATTGTTTCACATTTGAATCAGGTTTTGTGAGACTTTTATTCTAAAGTTTGAATGGTTATAATAAAAATCTCTTAATGTACTCAGAGGTTATCAAATCTTCAAGAGGCGTTTATTGTTTGAAGCTCTGGCATCAGTTGTTCTGCTGCACAGAGTTGTGTTTTGTATCAGAAGAGCTGATTGAAGTTCCTGAGCTCTGCTCTGCAGGGTGATGCTGTTTGTATGAAGGTGTCCCTCCCCCCCGTAAAGAGCCACTGGATGCTGTGCTATTAATACACAGCTGGCTTTTGTCCGCTCTTTGAAATGTGTGTAAGTGAACTGTTGTCTGTGTTCGCCACAAAGTCCAAGCTTTCCAAATGTCATCAGGAATCAGGCCCTGCTGCAGTGCTTTGTACATGGGTCAAGTCGCCTCAACACATTTCAGCTCTGTCTGCTGAAGAGCATGACATTTTAACTTCAGTAATCATAGTGGGTTGCAGAGGAGAACAGTTTGTTACTTTCTATTTTTTTCTGTTTTGCTCTATCTGGTCCATTTACTATAAGCAAGATTATTCATTTTTGCAACTTATTTTTTTTCTTTATATATCTTCCCCCCTCTAGTGTTCCTGCTTTACCAGTGAAAAACCTGACTGGCTCTGGACCTGTGCATCCAGCACTAGCAGGTTAGAAATTACTGCTCTTAAGGCATATAATACAGAACAAGCTAGTTAAGGTATTTTCACTAAAATGTATAATTTCTACCCTAATTTGCTATCTATAGATAATCGTTCAGAAGAAAATGATTGACTATCACTGTTCTTCTTCCACTCTTCTCTGTGTTTACGTGTGTACATATGTATCAGGTATGACAGGTATCCTGATGTGCGCTGCAGGTCTGCCGGTTTGCCTGACTCGAGCTCCAAAGCCTATACTGCACCCGCCACCCATCAACAAGAGCGACATGAAGCCTGTGCCAGGGATCAATGGCATGCGGCGCAAAACCAAGAAGAAGCATCTGAAGAGAGGTGAGTCTGAGAGAAGAGGAGGGGTGGGGGGTGGGGGTTGTCTCATGAAGGCAAATGATTTAAGGTTGCACCAATTTGGGATTTTTTTAGTTTGCTAGCAATGTGTGGGGAAAAAAGTAGCAGAGCTACTGACACTCGGCTGAGAGTGTCCTGCCAAGTTTAGCACAGTGTTTCTGCATCAGCTGTCTAGGAATCTGTTGTTTATCCTTCATCCCATCCTCTCATATAAACTGTTGAAAGTTTTCATGCAGGATCTGCATGGAACAAACCTATTTATTATAATCAAATTTTAATGCCTAATTCCTTCTTTTTCAGTGTGAGCATTCACTCTTCATGAGTTCATAATGGCTGTGAGTTATAGCAGATCTGAATAACCTGAAAAATAACCCAGCTGTCCATGTCAGATTTAAATAACATTTGCTCAATTTTATCTCTAATTTGAAATACAGGTGCTGGTCATAAAATTAGAATATCATGAAAAAGTAGATTGATTTCAGTAATTCCATTTAAAAAGTGAAACTTGTATATTATATTCATACATTACATACAAACTCATATATTTCAGATGTTTATTTTGTTTAATTTTGATGATTACAAATGACAACAAATGAAAATCTCAAATTCATCATATCAGAAAATTAGAATATTGTGAAAAGGTTCAAAATTGATGGCCCCTGGTGCCACACTCTAATCAGCTAATTAACTCAAACCACCTGCAAAAGCCTTTAAATGGTCTTTCAGTCTAGTTCTATAGGCTACACAATCATGGGGAAGACTGCTGACTTGACAGTTGTCCAAAAGACGACCATCGACACCTTGCACAAGGAGGGCAAGACACAAAAGGTCATCGCTAAAGAGGCTGGCTGTTCACAGAGCTCAGTGTCCAAGCACATTAATAGAGAGGCGAAGGGAAGGAAAAGATGTGGTCGAAAAAAGTGTACAAGCAAGAGAGATAACCGCACCCTGGAGAGGATTGTGAAACAAAACCCATTCAAAAATGTGGGGGAGATTCACAAAGAGTGGACTGCAGCTGGAGTGAGTGCTTCAAGAACCACCACACACAGACGTATGAAAGACATGGGTTTCTGCTGTCGCATTCCTTGTGTCAAGCCACTCTTGAACCACAGACAGCGTCAGAAGCGTCTTGCCTGGGCTAAAGAGAAACAGGACTGGACTGCTGGTGAGTGGTCCAAAGTCATGTTCTCTGATGAAAGTAAATTTTGCATTTCCTTTGGAAATCAAGGTCCCAGAGTCTGGAGGAAAAGAAGAGAGGCACTTCATCCACGTTGCTTGAAGTCCAGTGTAAAGTTTCCACAGTCAGTGATGGTTTGGGGTGCCATGTCATCTGCTGGTGTTGGTCCATTGTGTTTTCTGAGGTCCAGGGTCAACGCAGCCACATACCAGGAAGTTTTAGAGCACTTCATGCTTCCTGCAGCTGATCAACTTTTTGGAGATGCAGATTTCATTTTCCAACAGGACTTGGCACCTGCACACAGTGCCAAAGCTACCAGTACCTGGTTGAAGGACCATGGTATCCCTGTTCTTAATTGGCCAGCAAACTCTCCTGACCTTAACCCCATAGAAAATCTATGGGGTATTGTGAAGAAGAAGATGCAATACACCAGACCCAACAATTCAGAAGAGCTAAAAGCCACTATTAGAGCAACCTTGGCTATCATAACACCTGAGCAGTGCCACAGACTGATCGACTCCATGCCACGCCGCATTGCTGCAGTAATACAGGCCAAAGGAGGCCCAACTAAATACTGAGTGCTGTACATGCTCATACTTTTCATGTTCATACTTTTCAGTTGGCCAACATTTCTATAAATCCTTTGTTTTTATTGGTCTTCAGTAATATTCTAATTTTCTGATATGATGAATTTGAGATTTTCATTTGTTGTCATTTGTAATCATCAAAATTAAACAAAATAAACATCTGAAATATATGAGTTTGTATGTAATGTATGAATATAATATACAAGTTTCACTTTTTAAATGGAATTACTGAAATCAATCTACTTTTTCATGATATTCTAATTTTATGACCATCACCTGTAATAGTCTCTGTGTTGTTTACAAAAGATCTTAATCCTCTCATTGCAAAAAGTTATCCGTCGGGGTTGGAATATAAACCAACCATAACATTACATTAACATTGTTAAAGTAAAGAAGATCATCAGTTATTAGATTTTTAAACATTTCCAAAACCATTTGGGCCAAGAGACCCACAGTGAAACATGGTGGTGGCAGTATCATTCTCAGCATCACTTTTATCCAACTATAGCTACACTACATCGTGAAGTTTGCGGACGACACCACGGTGGTGGGCCTCATCAGGGACGACAACGACCGGGACTACAGAGAGGAGGTGGAGCAGCTGGTGGACTGGTGCAGTGAAAACAGTCTGATCCTGAACGTGGAGAAGACGAAGGAGATCATCGTCGACTTCAGGAAAAACCGCCCCCACCATGCTCCACTGCTCATCAACAGCTCAGCTGTGGAGGTGGTCAGCAGCACAAAGTTCCTGGGGGTGCACATCACGGACAACCTCACCTGGACTGTAAACACTTCATCTCTAGTGAAGAGGGCACAGAAGCGCTTGTACTTTCTGCGGAGGATGAGGAGAGCCCGCCTGCCCCCGCCCATCCTCACAACCTTCTACAGAAGCACCATAGAGAGCGTTCTGACCAGCTGTCTCTCTCTGTGGTGTGGAGGCTGCAGAGCTTCTGACTGGAAGAATGTGAGGAGGGTGGTGAGGACAGCGGAAGGAATCATTGGGGCTCCTCTTCCCTCCATTAAGGACATTTCATCACAGCGCTGTGTGTCCCGAGCCCGTAATATCATCAAAGACCCCTCACACCCCCACCATGGACTGTTCTCCCTGCTGCCCTCTGGAAAGAGGTTCCGCAGCATCCGCTGCAGATCCACCAGGTTGTGCAACAGCTTCTTCCCCACTGCCATCAGACTGTTGAACCTTTGATCCACAATCCGAACTCTGCACCTATTGCACATTATCGGGCATCAAATGCTGCTGAACTTTTAACTTTTAGCCCTTTAAATTGTTCATCTCATTGTATTTTTCAATAACGCATTTTTTGCACAAATGCCATTTTGCACTGAACCACTGCAACTTGCACACTGTCTCTTATCCTCTGCACTGTTCACACTTTGACCACTGCTGCACTTTTTGTATTTTTCTATAACTCGTGCCATTGTGAAATATCAATGCAACGTTCATAAGCTGTATGTAACGCAATTTCGTTCTGTATGCACCCTGTGCATACAAAATGACAAATAAAGAAGTCTAAGTCTAAGTCTAGTCTAGTTGGTTTTATTCTGAACAATTCTAAATATCAGGCAGCTTTGACCCAAAACCTTCCGGCACTCAGTGTCTGATAGAAGGTTGAGGAAGAAGTGAGAGTTTATCAATTCTCTTTATTAGGATCCAAGTCTAAGTGGTCCCAGATAAATAAACCCAAATCAAAACAGAAGTTACTTGTAAATGTAATGTTACCTCTAGGGGTATTTCAATAACAAAAAACAGACAATTTTATAACCAGATATTTTCTTCAGTCTGGAGATCCATTACATAACCTTGCAAGGCAGCTGGAGTCTTGCCAGATCTGCAAGATCCCTATAACACAGAAGTGCCTTCTGCCAAATTTCAAGCTGTGTGTGTTTGTGGCTGAAGCACAAACTACATGCTGTACTGGCAGCTACAGACAGATTTTAGGTCAGACAAGAGCCGATGCTGAAAAAGAAGCTATAATAGGATTGAGGTGTCTGATTAATGATCAGATATATAGGAACTGGATAGTATAGAGCATTTTAACAGGCAGAAAACTTGGCATAATATAGCCGGCAACACACAGATGTATTAATAAGAGCTGTCTCCCTTGAGAGAGGTAACCTGCTTCTGTGCATGCTGATTTATTGTCAGTGTTTCCTCAGGCTATCAGCACAACTTAGGAATCGTTATTGCCTTTAATTACACCCAAGCCCCCTGTGCTGTGGATAATTGAGTCAAAATACCAGCAGTAATATAAAAAAAAAGTTCATTTCCATTTAAATTTCCTTATTGAATAAAAATCAAAGGGTTGACAGATTTTTTTAAAGCTGGGAAATTTATTTTTTTTTGTTCTTCAGCTGCTTGTACAGACCAACCCTCCTCTATTTATCTTAATGCTAGAAGCTAACTTTTGCGTTTCGGTCATCATGAATGCCACCTTTGCAACAGTTCACAAAGAAGACATCAAAGTAATATTCCATGCAACAAACAATCTAGAACGTCTTGTTGATCTGTTTATTCTAGGGATGCACGATATTGGGATTTTGGCTGATATCCGATATGCCGATATTTTAAAACTCATGTAGCCGATAACCGATGTCGATAGCGATGTTAAAGCTGGACAAAAATAAGTAGTCATTGAAAATAGCAGTTTTGTTATCCATTTCTGACACTTTGAAAAATAATATACTCAAATATATTTTCATATGCTGATATCAAATTGATTTTTAAAAACGCGGTATCGATCTATTTGATCGTTCTGTTACAAACTCTCGTGATATTTTGCAAATTCTTGTGAGATTTTGTTAGTAAAATAGATCGATACCGCATCAATATATCAACATATAAAAATATGGCAAAATTTCATGGATTTTCGGGGGATTTTGTAGCATAACGATGACATATAGCAATATTTCATTAGTAAAAGAGATTGATATGGTTTTTTTTTAAATGGCAATATATCAGCATATGAAGATATTGTGATATTTTAATGTATCAATATTTTTTCCCTCGTCTTTAGAAGTTTTTAAGTCTGTAAAAAAGATTTTTTTGAGGAAGAAGAAGAAGTAGTATTTTTTTTTTTTTTTTTTTTTTTTAGACTTTAGAAACTCAGAAGCTGATCAAATATCGGGTTAAATATCGGTGGGGTGGCCGATGTCCGATATTCAGTTTTAAGGCCGATACAGGCCGATACCGATAGGGGGCCGATTATATCGTGCATCCCTAGTTTATTCTTTAATATTTGCCTTCTCAGTCCCTATTATTACTCTACCACTTTGCAACACTAATCTAGGTTACCACTGATAATATTGAAAATAAAAGATGTTGTGAAGGTTATTTTTTAGGATGGAAAGTAGGTAATTTTTCATAGATTTCCCACCCTTTGTGTAATCATATAACCTATGTAAACTAGGTGGCGGCCTTGAGATAAGCTTCATTATTCTCACTCAGAGCAGGGAAGAAAAAAGTCTGGAAGGTTTCTAATCTGACTAATTAAGCCGTCCCAGTTGTGTAATATCCTTTATGCATGGACCCACAGTATATCTTTCTCCTCTTTCTGTTTTCTCTCCCTATTCCTTGCTTCCGCTGCACCGTAGCTTTTCGGTCCCTTTCAACTGCTGCCGCTGCTTTTGCTCACTGGCTGGGCCTCAAATCAACAAACAAAGCCTCATGGGGTAGAGAGGTTGCCTATAAGCGTATTAGGGGTGTAAGCTGAGTGTGCGCTCTCAGCCATGCTAGCCTGGTTGCACACATGGATTATCAAGTGTATGGAATGGCTGTTTGTTATGTGCCCTTTTGAAGGTGACCTTTTCTTCTTCAACACTAATGCATGTGCAGTAACACTCGTAAAGCACATATGCATGTTCATATATTCTTATCATAAAGATAAGTTTACATTTCATTGTGTTACACTTGTATTAGCGTTCTCTTTTAAGATATAAAAACTTTAACAAATAATTTCATATTCTTTCATAGAAGGAAAAGTGGAGAAAATAGTTGGTGGGAAAGACATTAAGCATTGTGATAATAGACCTGTGTGGTTCTAGATGGGGATAGGCAGGGGCCAATGCCACTGTAAAACTGGCCCTGGTCCCTGTTTGGTACCTCATACTGAAGACATAGGACTATTGACATTTTTTAGAATGATATGGGTCAACAGAAGAGTCTGTCACTGATTAGTGTCTTGTATCTTTCAAATCTTTGAAAAAGATTATTTAAAATGTACAGTAGCTGTGTCATTTTTAGCCTCAGCCTTATTAGGATAAGATTCATTGAGTCTTGTAATATCATCATATCAGGATATTGATTTGCTACATGGTGCAAAGTAAACGCAAATGGTTAAACAGAATTGAAATGAACCTATTCCATGAGGCTCTCAGACCTAAGTCTAGAAGGGAACCTGATAGAGAAGCTGAAGATACAGTAAGACCAACCTAGCTGCAGATGACCAAGAGAAATTTAGCAAAATGTTTGGATTTTTGTATCACTCTGGACAAACTCTTTAAATAACACCTAATTATGTATAAATAACCATGAGACATTAGGGTTGTCAAAAGTGTCGATACTCAAAAAAGTATCGATACTGAAACGTTGTATCCGGATACAATACTAATTTTCAAAAGTATCAATACAGTGCTACCACCAGTGGCACCTAAACAGTCATTCATCTTATGCGCTGATTAGAGGAAAATGCACTTTCAGAACACTGTGTGATTGAATTATTCTGTGCACTTTTCGGTTTCAGACTTTTTTCTGTAACAGGTGCAGCTGCTAAGAATTATTTTTGTTTTTTAACCGGTTTGGCTAGTGTCATTGTTATGTGTGCAAAGCATAGCCATGGAAGGAACACTTAATTTTAATCTTGTAAGTTTTTTATCAAGCTTGCTTAATATTGTGCACAGCATACAACCTCAAAATACTGTTTATTGTATTTATTTATCTATTTATTGTATTTTGTTTATTAATGAAAAAATTTCTGTTGAATTTTGGAGTCTTTGTTTTTATCCTTCTGGTAACGAAAATGACATTGAGTATCGAATATTTTACTTAGTATCGGTATCGAGTTGAAAAGTTTAGTATCGTGACAACCCTATGAGACATAACAACAGATTTTGATAAAATTATAATCTTACTCAGACCAGAGAAGTTGCTTAGGGTTACAGAAGGCTAACCTGACTCCGCCAGATGGATTTGCTCCGCATATCCATCTGGAAACCTTCCGTAGAAGTAATTTTGGGAAGGGGCGAAAATACTGGTTAGCTGATTGGCCTATGTTGGTGATAGACGGGCCAAATAAACCAATCAGATCAACGAAGCATATGACGTACTAACAGAGCGACGACGAAGAGGAGCCAATTGATAGATCAAACTCTTGCCGAAACCAGTCAGGACAAGAGCAAAAACATCTTTTCCTCTTAGAAAAGCCTCCAGAGCAGTGTTTTGCTCTTCTTTCAGTGAAGAAATACTCTGTAATTCCGATAAAACTTGCTCGATAGCCACGCTAACGCTAGTTTCATCGGCTGAAGCCACCATGTTCTTTAGACTTAACTGTCGCGCTTCTCGTTGCGTCACACCTCAACCCCCCTCAAAGCCAACGCTGATTGGACGTTCGTTTGGTGAACGGCTCCACATTTTCTTTAACAGAGAGTCTCCAGACTGATTAGCGAATGAAATCTTGAAAGCTCGCGAGATCAGAATGGTCTCACGAGGCTAACAGAAGGCAGCACCTACCCGCCGGGCTCACATCTCGTGAAGTGGCCACCATTCACAGTTAAAGAAACTTTTTATACAACTCCAGTCTGACACATCATCACATCATTACATCATACACCTTTGCAGATGAGGAGACATACAAGGCCCCAGCCTTATCGAAATATTCCACTATGTTCTTAGATCAAGAACGCTCCCATTCCATTTCCAAATCTTTGCCACGTACATAATGAAGATGATAACTGTATTGCAGGACAGAGGAACTGTCCTAATTAAATAAACTACTTGGGAAAACATTTGTTCTGACAAATAACAGCCAGGTAATATTAGGGTGTAACAGACTCACACATCATTAATAAATATATTAATCCTACCAGAAGCCTCACCAATATTCACCCATGTTTTGTATGTTTGTGAAGAAGCGATTTCTCACCTCCATTACTGAGCTACTAGGATCTAGCAACATCTGAGTTATGATATGTGACTTCATCCTACTGGTCTTATTTATGTGAAATCCTTTCATATCGATGTTTGGATGCCAACTAGAAGTAAATATTTAAATGTATTTTGGACCCACCAAAACATATAACATATTTATTAATAAACAGGACTTCTTTTTATTCAGTAAAATTTTATGTTTATTCTAGGCACTCACAAGTATTGTTTTGATTAAAAAAAATGTAGTTATGAACTTTTGATTAATTGCTAAGAAAAAAAACCTTAAAGCCATGTTATACTGAGCTTTCAAGTGTTCAGCATTCCCTCTTTGCATATTCAGATAGACTCTAAAAGTCCCTTTAATGTCCGATGTATTTTTCTGGTAACTAAAAGTCATGCAGAATGGGGATGAAATTCCAATGATAACCATTTTAAATACATTTTATTTAGCTCTTCTGGGAACATGGTAACAGATTTCCTCCCACCTTAACCTGGGAAATGGAAATATAAATTATTTGAATCCTTGAACGAAAGATAGTTCAAAATATATTTTATTGGTAAAGGTCGACATAAGTGATAACTTAACAATTCCCTGTTTTCTCTATATCATACCGCACTCTATCAATAGACAAACTTCATAACATAACCCATTTTTTATTTTAGCATAGATATAGTCTATTGGGAAATTTGTACTCCAATAATTATGTTTTTGCTTATTAAAAAGAAAATACTTTTTTAACAAGATTACATGTAACTGCAATAACACTAAACTTATCTAAAGGCTTTAAGTATCGACTAATGTTCTTTGATGATCATCTATTTCTTTTTTGTTTCATAACCAGGGAAAAACCCAGAAGATGTGGTTCGAAGATACACAGAAAAGATCAAAGTCCTGCCAGATGAGGTAAGGACTGGAACGAAAAAGCTGAAAAAGTTTTGTATTCACCAACAGATGCAATCTGTTACTATTCAGCATCCTAACTGGGTGTGAAAGACTCAGACATTCACAGTCATGGCAGCTGAAGTATCTCTGCTTGGCTGTTCCAGGACTGCACCATCTGCATGGAGAGGCTGGCGATGTCGTCGGGCTATGAAGGCGTCCTGCAGCACAAAGGCATCAAGCCAGAGCTGGTGGGCAAACTTGGCAAATGTGGTCACATGTACCATCTGCTGTGCCTGGTGGCCATGTACAACAATGGCAATAAGGTGGGTAAAAGCTTGACAGCCAGACGTTGTTATGATGTCGCTCCGGGCTCGCATAAAACCTTCCGATATCTTACAGCTTGACTAGAACTCCTGACACTGGTAAATGATCAGGCCTCGAACCTGCAGGAGGGATCTAAAGTACTCCCATCAGATCAGTCCTGTCACCTTGGGGTTTAATTAAAGCACTGTAAACTACGCTACTTCAATTTGACTCTAAAAATGCTAACGTTGCTCTTACTTTTGCAGATGAAAGACATTCAGCAAGCTATGATCTGATTTTCTAATTTAATCTAGAAATATATGTGCAGCTAACAAGCAGCAAGTGGACAGTTTTGTATCACAACATTTAAAATGGCTTTCACAAATTATTATTTAGATATGCTAAGTACTTAGTCTATCAAAGCTCCAAACCATCAACATGGATTCACTGGTTTTTGGCCCTTCGTTTTAAAAAAAAATATTATAAAGGTATATTAAGGGTCTCTTCTTTTGTAGAGCACTGTTATAAAAATACTTAATGACCCAAGAAATAAAGAAAAACAGCTTTTAAATAATGAATTTTGTTTGTTTATTTTAACAAGACTTCTAGAAGCGAAAACTCTCCAAAAGAACCAGTCTAACAACACGAAGTAGGCTAAAAGATAACAAAAGACGACACAAAGTGTTTTTTTCTATTTTGTTTATTGAGACATTTCTTACCTCTACTGCATGAAGGCAGTAATGCTAAAAGTGTATTTCTTAAAGGAAAGTCTTCCTGACAGTGTTCTTGAATTTAGTTAATGATATTGTTTTTCATATATTTGTACAATAAACTAGCTGTAAACACAGTAATGGATTTATTCCAATTAAACTTTAGATCTATTATCACATTCTGATAGAAAAGTAAAATGAATTCATTGATTGGAGGGTTTAGCAGAGCTGAGATGTTTTCTTTTTGTGCAAACATGTTTTTTTATGATGATGTTGAAAATGAGAAATTTACCAACTCATTTTGGGGCCATTTTATTACCATAACTATCAGGAAATGATGTATGATTTTTAGCATGGAACATTAAACTGAGTGCAGTAGAAGATTAATGAATGGCCCGGTTCCAAAAAGGCATTTTGTGTTTATTCTCTATGTTTGTATGATATTAAAATTAGTTTAAGAGTCTGAAAAATGGTTAGAAAAGTAAATCTGCAAGTCATCCTTTCAGGCTGTTATCACTGGAATTTGGTTGTAGTTTTCCATGTAAAGATGCTTAAAGTGTAAAATGTTGGTTCATGTGTTGAATATAATCCACTGATATAAACTGAATAATTAGTTCACCCACTTGCTCTGGTACCCAGCCTGTAGTCAGACAGGCTCAGTCAGCTTAGCTGTAAGTGGAGTAGTCTTCTTACACACACTGTTCAGCAACAGGTGGGGGAGGGGGTGCAAAATGAAAAAAAAAAAAAAAAGACAAGTCCAGCTGTATGATGCCATGCCATCCTCTCTCAAACCAAACAAAATAAGCCAACTGTAAATACAGACTTAGTGATTTTGTTTTTTTCCATCAGAAATATAATTTTGAGTGCTTGGCTGTTTTAATAGTTTAGTTTCAGTCGTTAAATGTGGCGCTAGTGGCAGCCATTGTTTTGTGACTGTGTAATTAACATGATCCACTTGTTTGGGTTTATTTATTTGTTGTTGTTTTTTTAAGCAGGATGGAAGTCTGCAGTGTCCAACATGCAAATCCATCTATGGGGAGAAAACAGGCACCCAGCCGCCTGGGAAGATGGAGTATCACGTCATCCCTCACTCTCTGCCCGGCTACTCAGACTGCAAAACCATCCGCATCGTGTATGACATCCCCGCTGGGATCCAGGTGAGATCCGTCTCATTTCACCAAATCCACCACAGCCATCTGTCTCTGCATCGATCCACTGCGCCTCCCCATCTAAACCTCTGGGCTCTCTAGATCTGCTTATCTGCTTAATTTCCACAGACTGATACTTAAAGGGTGAAGTTTGCTGTCAAGACAGACACAGCAGTCTCAGACTGTGGGTGGGGGTTATCTTTTGGCCCTGTACAGTCTTACTCAGAGCTGAAAACATATATTATCCTGACTGCTGAGATTAGCATGAATGTAGACAATAAAATGACCTTTTTTCCACCAACAGAGAAGCTCTAGTCTCCCCAGGGTCAGAATACCTGAGGTCATGATCACGCTGGTCAGCATAGCAGCACAATTCATCACTAGCAGTGACGCTGCTTAGTGCCCTTTGTTCCTCACTCTGCTTTCTGCAGCTCGTTAGCTTTTAATGGATGTAGAACTTGACGGTCAGCTGCTGCAAAATATATTTTGTATAACAGCAGCATCATTGTCAAAAGAAATTAGTAAGAAAAGAACAATTAAATTCTCCAAATATGAATATAATCAAGTTTAGGGGAGCATCTTTGGGTGATACAGTTATAGTCAATCAGACTTCATCATATTTTTGTCCTCATCAGGATCCTTCCTGAAACAGGATAATTGATTAGTCTAGTTGCTATATAATTTCTCTCAATGGTTCTTCTAAATAGTGTTCATTATAAAGCTTGTCCTGTGGGTGCTGTGGACATTTCCAGAACGGTTCAGCTGTATTTGATCTAAAGACGGTGTTTAAAAATGCTTTGTTTTTGTTCTGTGTTTTTTTCCGACAGACAAATGAGCACCCCAACCCGGGCAAGAAGTTCAGTGCCAGAGGCTTCCCTCGACACTGCTACCTCCCCGACAACGAGAAAGGCAGGAGGGTGAGCTCCATGTTCAGTCGCAGGAAGCAAACAAGCTGTGCAGAGATGCACCTAGGACACTTTGTGATCAATATTCAATCAACACTTTTACAAGTCACTGATGTACCAATGCAGATTTTAGGATATTTGGTTTCAAACTATTTCTGAATGCTTCAAAAGTTTTTACAGGAGAGTCTCTCTCCAAATTAATTGGAATCTATAAATAGAATCTTACACGTTAGAATTGCAGAAAATTTGTGTTTTAGTTATTTTAAGATGTATTGTGCAAATTATTACATGTGCATCTTAATAATACCGTACATTAAGAAAAGATAAGCAACTGCAATATCCAACATTATGTCTAATATTTAATTTTCAAATTATGTGTTTGATGTTGTTGTGTATCAGGTATTGATCTACTGCAACTGCTGTCCTCAGAAAGCATTTCTGTGAATGAATAAATTTAGACACAGCTGTGCTCTTAGTTTTTTTTTGCATTTTCACAGTAATGTGTGGGTCTAGCATTTAAACTTTCTTTAGCATCCTATAGCTTAGCAGAATTAGCCTGATTGGCTTTACTAAGAGTAATTCAAGCTGTTTTCCCTGAAAAGTGAGGTGATAGCTAGATAGAATAAATAAATTAAAATGTGTTGTTTTGTTTTTAAGAAAATTACTTGATTTAAAATCAATCAACAGAGAGAATTTGAATCTAAAAGGGATTAGAAAATCAGTTATGTAATATGTTAAGCTTCCAGTTATCTGCTCACATCAAACTCTTGAATTTAGTAATCTGAATGAACACCAAATATGACCACAGAAGGTAGAACATGATTGTCTCATGCAGACATCTTCCTCTCACATCTCAAAAGGTATGAAAGAAACAAAAATTGTAAAATATGCAATAAGTGAGAAAGAAATTACCATTATTTTTATAGTTTAACTCCATGTTGTTGTACCTTAATTTAACAGCCAATCTAACTCTTTGGGAAATTAATTTTCTTTCTAAGCTTCTTACAACTTTAGTGGTTTCCCTGACTTATGTTTTAAACCTCATTAGTACTGAAAAATAATGAAAGGTGGTTTTTATGCCCAATATGTTAATTAATTAAAAAATGTATATATTTTTCATTTATTAGTGGTTGCTCTTGCATCTTTTTTGTGTGAATATTGGATAAAAAACACAGAAGTTTAGAGGGAGACGGGGTATGAAAAATAAGTTTTACTTCTTCATACCCCTTTTCAGACTATTTATATTAATCAATGTCAGTTCTCTTGCTGTATATGCCGACAGGTTTATTTGGTTGGAGGGTTTTGTTTCTATTTATGTTCAGATGAATGTAGTTTGTTAACCAGTCTTTTTTTTTGTGTGTATTTGGTTGTTTATTTGTTTGAAGTTGACTTTTTTATTGTTGTCTGTCAAAATTGAAATAAACTGCTTTTCATTCAGTCTTTTATTCACGCTGCAGTTAATATCTTTAGAGCATAAAGTGGTCTAATTTCAGTCTTCAGATGATTACTAAGTTAATCTTTCATTCTCCACCCAGTGTTTTCTTACCGTTTTTGTCCAGTAAATGATTTAAACAACTGTTCCTCTCTTTTCTTAATCTCCAGGTCCTAAAGCTGCTCATCATGGCTTGGGACCGGCGCCTTATCTTCACCATTGGCACATCCAGCACCACAGGAGAGTCCGATACGGTCGTGTGGAACGAGATTCACCACAAGACAGAGTTTGGCTCCAACCTGACCGGCCACGGCTATCCTGACCCCAATTACTTGGACAATGTCTTGACGGAGCTGTCGGCTCAGGGTGTGGGAGAAGACAATCTGAAGGACTGATGGCCAGCCAGACTTGCAACCAGCAACTAAGTCCAGCATCCTTCAGTGAATAGAGTGCATGATCAGCCACAACTCCTTAATCACTAACAAGCTGAAACATTCTTCAGAAGTGGCTGAATGAGAGCAATAGAAGCAGAAGCCAATGGTTCTGATTTGTGTTTGATCTCCACCCAGCTGTCTCTTGATCTATGCCTTGAGTCCACGATGAGCGCCCTCTCCTTCTGACAGGGATGAGGATGTGAGGGTCATTTTATACTCATGTTGCAAGCTGCATTTTGTGTCATCTCCTTTTTAAATGAAAACCTCTAAACATTCAGCGTTGAATAGTCAGGGTCCAGATCAGACATCATTTAAAGGTGAAGCTCTTGAATGCATGATCCCGACTAATGCTGCATTATGGATGATGAGCAAAGTGCTTCGACAGGGTGAAGAGACAGAGGATCAGTTGTTAGCATATGGGATCATTTTACTGTGACATTTTTATTTTACAATTAATAATTGCCCTGTTACAAATCCAACACCTACAAAAGTATTCACACCCCTTTGTCTACTAGTAACATCAAACTGAGTATTTTTTTTCTTTCAGGCTTTTATGTGATGCACTCACTCAAAGAAGTCAGAGTTGGTTTAATGGGAGAAATAAAGGTTTTTAGGATGTTTTTGAACAACTTATTAACAACAGACATTTTTTTGGGAAATTCTATAAATCTCTGAGGTATATTTTTACCAACTTTACGCATTGAGCATCAGTCAAATCATTGAAATACTTTTGTTGGCAGTTTTTCTTCAATGGATATTACTCTGACTTTGACTAGGCCACCCTAACACATTAAAATACAGATTTATTGAAAGTCTTTAAGGCCTTTTTAAGTTTTTATCCTAGAAAAATCTCTGCCATGATCGTATACATTTTCTGTGGGGACTTTTTATGGGGAAATTTCATACCCACAGCATGATGGGTATCACCACCTTGTTTCCCTTTGCCGATGCTGTGTTCATGGTGATGTAAAAGCAACACTTTGTAACTTTTGACCCAAGCATTAGCTCCTTTAAGACAAATTAGACATGCATCAGCGCACTTGGAGGGTATTGATGCATGCTGCCATTTTTAAAAACTCCCCCATGTAATATGAGAGGGTAGGATATCTTGCCCAATGAGTCATGTGATCCAGAGCACCGCTTTACATGAGCCTGAGCTCCCTTTTAAGCTAAGCTGAAAGTTGCAACAAAACATATGACACTTACCTGATCAAACATATCTTTGGTTCTCTGATGAGAATTTATTTTGGACTGCTAAATGTTGATTTTACAAGTAACTCCGTTAGGGATGCACGATATAATCGGCCCCCTATCGGTATCAGCCTGTATCGGCCTTAAAACTGAATATCGGACATCAGCCACCCCACCGATATTTAACCCGATATTTGATCAGCTTCTGAGTTTCTAAAGTCTAAAAAAAAATTAAAAATACTACTTCTTCTTCTTCCTCAAAAACTTATTTTTTACAGACTTAAAAACTTCTAACGACGAGGGAAAAAATATTGATACATTAAAATATCACAATATCTTCATATGCTGATATATTGCCATTTAAAAACACCATATCAATCTCTTTTACTAATGAAATATTGCTATATGTCATCGTTATGTTACGAAATCCCCCGAAAATTCACGAAATTTTGCCATATTTTTATATGTTGATATATTGACGCGGTATCGATCTATTTTACTAAAAAAATCTCACAAGAATTTGCAAATATCACGAGTTTGTAACAGAACGATGAAATTTCACGAGATTTTGAAAGTAAAATAGATCGATACCGCGTTTTTAAAAATCAATTTGATATCAGCATATGAAAATATATTTGAGTATATTATTTTTCAAAGTGTCAGAAATGGATAACAAAACTGCTATTTTCAATGACTACTTATTTTTTTCCAGCTTTAATATCGATATCGGTTACCGGCTACATGAGTTTTAAAATATCGGATATCGGCCAAAATCCCAATATCGTGCATCCCTAAACTCCATGGCTTCTCAACCTGCTGCCCCAGAGGCACAAGTGGCTCTTTATAACTTTCGTAATGGCTTTTATTAGTGGCTTAAAATTATCTAAATTAGCAGCTAATGCAGTATGAGAACAACTTCCTGTCTAAGAACCTTTTTATCTATTTATAAGAATTGTTGATTACATTCTCACAACAAATTTGCATTGAAAGAGTCAGAAATAGTGTTTTTAGATGCTTTATCTTTATGAAAAGTTTAATTTTTTCCTTATTGTTGAAGCTAAATATACAAATAAATTGTTGGTTGTTTGGCAACAGGTTTTCTATGTCACATATTTAACAAGTCTGGTTTTAATAAATGTTTAGAAAATATTTGTGACTCTAAACGACCTTTACTCTGTCTGACATTTGGCAAAATTGTTGTTTGGATTTGAAAGGTTGCAGACCCCTGTCAGGGCTGCCAGTTTTTTTCAGGGGTGCCTAACCTTGAAGTTACAGATCCCCCCCCCCCAGTGCCTAAAAGTTACACAGTGTTGCTTTAATTAAATCTAATGCATCAGGAGAAAAAAAACTCACTGCCACAGATTGTGCATAAATGGGTCTGTTCTAACAAAGCCTTTTTTTTTTTTTTACGTTTCCTATTAGTGGGGGTTATGTTAAAAACTAGTGGTTCTCAGAAGCATCAACTGGTGCTGCAGCTTTGTTTCATCAACAGCGGAGAAACGACTCCCACATCCTGAAACGGGTCACCTAGTTCAGTTAAACATATGTTGCAGATTTGCACTTGGATCAAGCTCATAACACAAAAAACAAAATATATTTCAATACATGACAAACTTTAAACAGACCATCTTGAGAATCTCTTATTGGTTCGCCTCATGTCACTTCCAGAAAGGCCAGACTCATTTTTCCGGGAACATTTTCTTTCTTCTGAACATTGGATCTCTGCTAGTTCTCCAGTTACCATGACTCCTTGCCCAGCCTGTCTGTTTAGCTGACCAATCATGTCTTAAATTTGTGCAGAGGATGGCAGATTGATCAGTGCCCCACTGCAAAAGTTTGGGTGTACTCTACTGTTCCCCAACAAACCTCTAATGCTGTTACAGAACAGCTGGCTTTACA